TTGAAGCGCATACATATCTAACACAACAGAAAAAAGAGTTATCGGTATTTACTATATCTGTGGAATCTTTACTAAAAAACTTTCTTACACATTATACACTTAACCAATCACTCTAAATTCTTTTATCACACTAGCACAATAGCACCCGANTTGAAGCGCATACATATCTAACACAACAGAAAAAAGAGTTATCGGTATTTACTATATCTGTGGAATCTTTACTAAAAAACTTTCTTACACATTATACACTTAACCAATCACTCTAAATTCTTTTATCACACTAGCACAATAGCACCCGATACTAACAGAGATTATTACGGCAGAGTAGAAGCGAAAGATAGCGAGCACTATCGCATCATTCAGTAAGACTATTGAACGACTGCGTAAATTTTGAAGAGAACGCACTGACACAACCGTGAAGCTGACGCATGACGTCAGTCGCTCTAGAGATTCAGCGCCAGTTAGATCGTTAACAAATACCGACTGCGAGTGCACAAACGCAGTCACAATGCGGAGCGCGTCTACGTTGTAAGCGTGAACGCTCCCATACAAGTGACCCCGGTTCGCTGGAACAAGCTACGTCGGAAAATCGATAGTCATTAATAATTAGTGATCAGAAGTGCAACGGTCGTCATGATAGACCTGTGGACCATGATCATGACGCTGGTCGTCGGCGCAATTATAACGATGTACTATTATCTGAGAGGACCATGGACATTCTTCACTGAACGTGGTATCCCGCACGCAAACCAATACCCGTTCTTCAGCAATTTCTGGACGCTGTTCGTCAAAAAGAAAAACATGGCAGAAATGATGAGCGAAGTATACCCAGCAGTGCCTGGCGCTAAGTACGTGGGTATCTACGACTTCGCTACGCCAATGATCATGATCCGCGACTTGGAACTGATCAAGTCTATTATGATAAAGAACATCGAGCACTTCCAGGACCACAGGTCATTCCAAATGGAGGAAGTTGAGCCAATTTTTGGCAAGAACCTATTCTCCCTGCGCGGAGAACGATGGAAGGAGGTGCGAACGTTGCTAAGTCCCGCGTTCACGTCCAGCAAGATGAAGGCGATGTACAAGCTGATGCGCGAGTGCGCCAACAAATACGGAGAACATTTCGCCGCAATACCGGAAAAGGACAAATCTATCGAGCTGAAGGACGCCTTCACCAGGTACACGAACGACGTGATCGCCACCTGCGCGTTCGGTGTGAACGTTGACTCGATGGCTGATCGGAACAACAAGTTCTATGTCAACGGAAGAACCGCTACCAAGTTTGGCAAATGGCAGACGGCAAAGTTCTTCTTAGTACGCAGTTTTCCCTGGCTCTTCAGATTCACCGGCTTGAAAGTGTTTGATACAAAGGTCACTCAATTCTTCACGGACCTAATTCAAGACACAATAAACACCAGGGACGAACAGGGCATCGTGCGACCGGACATGATACAGCTGATGATGGAGACTCGGGGCAAGATGGGCCCAGGCAAAGAACTCTCCATAGTGGACATGACTGCGCAAGCATTCGTTTTCTTCCTTGGCGGATTCGAGAGCACTTCGGTCTTGATGTGCTTCGCTGCCTACGAGGTAGGTGTCAACCCGGAGATACAGAAGAGGTTGCAGGAGGAGATCGATGATGTATTGGAGAAAAGTAATGGCGAGGTGACTTACGAGGCGGTCAACGACATGAAGTATCTCGATGCAATTATAAACGAGGCTCTCAGGATGTACCCGGCCGCAGTCTTCACTGATCGAGCCTGCACAAAACCGTTCGAGCTGCCACCTGCGAAGCCCGGTCTGAAGCCGTATGTGGTGCAGAAGGATGAGTATATTTGGATTCCGATCTATGGTGTTCAGAACGATCCTCAATACTTCGAGGAACCGACCAAGTTCAAACCGGAAAGGTTCATCGACGACCCGAAGAAGATCTTGAACTCCGGGATGTTCTTAAGCTTCGGTTTGGGCCCGAGGATGTGCATCGGCAACAGGTTCGCGCTTCTGGAGACCAAGGTTTTGCTCTTCAACTTGTTTGCTCGCTGCAACTTGAAACCAAACGCCAGAACCACAATTCCCATGGAGCTCAGCAGGGACACCTTCCAGATGACGGCCAAAGGTGGATTTTGGTTCGATATCGAGCCGAGGAAATTGACCGCTCGTGTTCTCGTTAACTCTGTCAGCAATGGCAGTGCTATCCACTAGATCGCTGTTATCGTTCTCGGAATTCTCGCGTTTACAGATTATAATTATAGATTTGTAATAATCGGGTTAATGTTCGTGTGTCGTTTTGTCTGGGTTCTGGAAGGACAGTCTGTTGTGATTGTCTGTTGGTCAATGCTTCTACCTCATTTGTATATTCATGTTGTATTGAAATCAGTATGCAAATTTCTTGCAATTAATAACTTTTTCATATGCAAACTTGTATGCTTTAAAAGCAACTATATTGTTCTATTTTTCTATTGTTGTACTTTGTGATGTATACCTCGTTTATGGAAATACATATATGTATTCGAAAGATTAGGATACATCGACTTTTGTAGATGACGATTGCGAAGCTGTATTTTCAGGATGGGCATTTGGATTTAAATAAGTTGAAAATTTCTAAGTAAGAACATATTGGGTGTAGTTTCAAACTAGAACAGGGTAAGTATTATATCCGGACTGTGGAATTTCGCGAGTACATGGCAGAAAATGGAAAAATAAAAAAACATTTCAGAAAAGCTCCTTTAAGATTTCAGAAATATATTTCTATTTTCCTTTTGTTTCTTGTAGTTAATGCAGCGAATGTTTATTTCTCAATAGGTAATTAATATTTTTCATTCATTTGTCGTCGTCCAGAATTTTCCTATACTTCACATTACTCATTAATTGCGCGTCATTTCTTGCGTCCATTAATAGTTGCGGCCTGTGTATAATTGGCAGTATACAGACGTCATCACCGTTTACACTGCTACGGAAACGCTTCTCGGAAAAGAAACAAGAACTGCATCCGGTACGTATAAGTTTAAAGTTTTAATGTAATTTTAAATGTTAATATTTTTT